GAGTCTATCATTTTACTTATGCAAATGCAATCAAATACCCATTAGAGTGTAAGCCCTATGGGGGCAGGGATATCTTTTTCTATTTTGTTCACTCATGTGTCCCTTAGAACGGTGACAGGCACACAGTAGGCTCTTAATAAATACCTGTTGAATAAAATAATGAAAAAATTCCTCTTGAGCAAGACCCCAAGAAGTTGTACTTTCTTGGATGTATCTTTTATCAGCTCCAAGTCTTTACAGTTGATGGTTCCCATAGAAATGTTTCTTTCTCTAAGTATGCGTTGTCTGCCCCACGCCTGCATAGTATTGTTTGTTCATGTGTATATGTTGCTATCTAAGGGATCAGGAACATGACCCATGCACACAAATACACACACACACACAAGATAGGCAGGAAAGTGTGTAGATCTCTCTTCTATTCCTTTGATGCTGGAGAAAATTTTGAAAAGGAACTAGATAACGCTGAGGCAGTACAACTTGGTCTAGATTGTCAACGTTCCACCTATGGTATTAATACTTGATAAACCTAGCCCTTGGGAATACACGCAAGACCAAGTATTATGTTTCTTGTCTTTCAGGGGTCCGTAGGAAAAAATCACATCTCTGCAGGTGGGGCAGGGTTTCCAGCGAAGGGAGGAGATAGTCCCACTCTCAGTCATCCTGGGAGTGAGTCAGCCTTGAGATGGGAAATCTGACCTGTGGAGAGGAGTGTTAGCAAAGGGTTAAAGGAAAGATGGTGTCAGGTACTGGGACTACAATGATGCCTGAGACATGGTGTCTGTTCCTAGGATCTCATGGTTTAGTGGAGGAAAGACATACATATAATCCAAATTGAAATACAAAGCTGCACGTGTGATCACAAACGTGAAGCTGAGTAGGGAAACAGGAAAAGCTTGCTGGAGGAATTGATGCCTAGGCTGTGTCTCTAAGGATGAATAACACCTAACCAGAAGTGTGTGTGTGTGTGTGTGTGTCCAAGGAGGTGGAAAAAAGTAGTGAGAAAATTTTTCAGAAATTGAGACAAGAAACAAGAAATAGCAGGTGAGGTCTACATATTTCTGGCATTTGCTGGAATGACAGACAAAGAGAAGAACCACAGTATCACTCAACTCCAGAGGCATCATTTACATACAACCTAGTGTAATGATGCCCCCTGGAGTTGTGCAGTGCAGTGGTCCTGAAGGAAATCATTAAAGATGAGGCTAGAGAAGGTCACTAGAGGGGCTTGACTGTAGAAGCTTAACTAAGGGACAGGATGACATTGGCAAACACAACACCCCTCCTTACCTCCAAATCACAAGCAGAGCATTGTGACTGGAGACCTTCATGGTCTCCCAGTTTATAATTCTATTTCCTTAAAAATTTTGAAATGTATATAGAACAGATAGAAATCATGTTTCATAATTGACATAGCTGATTTCATCTTTAATCAAAATTTATGTTCTATCACATTTCAAATAGTTTAGATCTTCTCCCCTCTGGGATATTGAGATAGTATATTGTGATGTGGAGGAAGGTGTTACCGGAGGTTGGGCATCGTGATATCTCCCGCTCAGTCTTATGCTATTGCTTCCATGTCATGTCGGCGAGGCACTGGCCTTCTACGACAGTGTGGATGATGGATTTGAGGGTGGACAAGACTGGAGGCTGGAAAGCTAGTTAGAAGGCTGCTGCAATAGTTTAGACAAGAGACGATAAGGTCTTAAATTAGGGCAGTCAGGTTGGCATGGAAAGGAAAGAGAGTCAAAAAATACGCCAGGACTCGGAATGTGTGGGTAAGAGAAAGGCATCAAGCCTGATTCTCACGGCTCAAATGACTCAGTGAAAGGTGAGAAGACCAACTGAGCCAGAGCATTCGAGAGGAGCCTACAGGTGCCACCAGAGGATTCTGACCTCATCAAACGAGCAGCTTATCATCATTTCCCTCTGGACTGGGACCACCTTGTATTTTGTTGTGACCTTTCAATACATTCAGCTGCTCACAGGAGAGCCACGCAGAGAGGAGAAGTAATATTTGAAGAACCAGTTGAACTTAATTTTCTACAATACACTATTCTGGAGAGCTGTGCAAGTATAGTATCATAGGGCTCAAGGGAAAATAGGTGATGCAACTGATTATTCAAAAGTTGTATTTTTTGGTTATGTGTTAACGTGGAGAACTGGGTAAGCAACTCCCAAGAAGAAATCATTTGATTTTCAGGGAGCAAACTTTCCATCATTAGAAAGACCAGTAAATTAGGCCAGGTGTTCACCTAGCTGCCAGTTGCCACTTTTTCCTGTTAAATCTCCATTCTCAGATAAAATTTTTAAATGTCTTCCTTTGAACCAAATGAATTATACCAAGCTTTCCTTCCCATTTCCTTTGTCAATTACTCACATTCATTGACACTCCCAGAATTCCTCTATGGCCAGATATCAGCATCATATGACTGATTTGAATGCTCACATGAATGCCTTCTGCAAATTCTTTCTTCACAGTTTCTTGACGACCTCCTCCACCCAAAACTTTACCTCCATTCCACTCACGCCAACTACACCCATCAGATTTCAGGTTGAAATGCCAAATATGAACATGACCTATTTTTAAAGAAAAGATGAATAGTAGTCTCGTTTTACTTTCTCAGATTCCTAGATCCATGTTCTTCCATATCTGTTTTTTTCTCTTCTATTCCTACAAACTTATTGCAATGTGACAATAGCAGGGGCTACTCCTGGGATGAGGGCCAAATCTTGGGAACGAGATGGTGCAGTGGCTTCTCCATGCTCCTAATGCTTCTCTCTCACAGCCATGCTTGATGACAAGCACAGAACACAGGTTGGGGGAGCGGAAGCAGAGAGAAGGTATGGGGCAAGGGTAGATTCTCTCCTTGCTTCCCAGACCTAATATTCTTGGTCCTGGAACTCTCAACTGTTTAGGAAAAATGGAAGTGCACCCTGGCCTCTTTCCGATGAGTGACAGAGGATATTTCCACCCACGTCTCCAATGTTTGCCCAGTGGGGCTGACACAAGTGCAGATCTGGGCAGTGATCCTGAGTCAGTGAGAAGACCCAAGTCAAAATCAGGCTAAGGCTGTGTGGCCTGCAGGGAGTGAGTGCCCAGTTAAACATTTTGCAAGAGGATAGTTTTGTTTGTAGAGCCCTCTCCACTCTTTTTCTATCCTCTATGCCATTTTCTCAGACCTTACCCCCAGCTGGCTAAGATGTTAGCCAAGGATAGTTTTAGGTGAGTTTTGCAAACTCCGCATACAGAGACCAGGCATGTATTTTAAATGAGTAAAGTGGCTGGGCAGAGGGACAATAGGGAATGGTGGAGACTGTGACCAACTAGGAGTCTCTACACCATCTAAAGGTAGCAACCTCCTCTCAGCCCAGCCAACCAGCACCATGTGGGAATATAGGTCTTATGTGTCCAGATCTTCTGACTTCTCTCAAGGAAAACAAGAAAAATATTTATTTCTGTATAAAAGCTCCTCCAAGAAAATGGTGAGTGACCACTAGAAATTTTTAAACAAACTTGTGGATCAGAAGGCCATATTCAGCCCTTTACAACCTCTGGTTTAAGGGATTAGCTGTGATGGGTTTGAATTTTACAAACCACAGGGATGTTTTGTAGCTTTCCTGCAGAGTCGCACAGTTTACTGCGTGGCTATTTAGTGATGGATTTGGGGCAGGGGGACTCTGGACTTCTTTAAAAGATGTTGGTTATTAGGAAGGGAGAGAGGTCGGGGTATACCCAAGTTTTCTTGGGGGAGTTATGGGTTTCAGGACAAGTCAGAACAAGCCACTTAATGGGCCTGTAAGCAGATGAGTGACAGGAGAGGAGTGGGGGTACTTCTCACAGAACTCAGAGGTGGCAGCAGTCTCTGCAGCTTCTCCTCCTTGAGACGACTGGCTCAAAGCCCATTCTGTTGGCTGTAGGTATGATGCACGAGATAGCAGCCAGAAGTACATATGTCTTAACTGTCAGACTCTCTGCCTAGGGTGGCAATTCTGCCTCCCGATCTGTCCTTGAGGTCTCCCAAATCTAATCCTCCATACTCCAGGCCCCCTGCCTTGACTTGTGGTTCTATTTAATGTTACAGGTAACTTTTCCCCTGGACACTCTCTTTAACTTGAGCTAAAGTTCTCTGTGCCAGCATCTTACACAAGTTCATCAACTCAAAGATGAACTTGAGCTAAGTGTGTTTGTCTCCAACAATACAAATAACTTCTTCCCTTCTAATTTTCCATATTCATAAGCATCATTTCCATAGCACTCCAAAACCAAAACATTAAAAGTGAGAAGTTAAAACAAAAATAGTGGGCAGGGGAAAGGATGACTCTGAAAGGTGAAATTGATCTCAAGAACCCCAGGACCTCTCCCAGCCTCACAATCCTCCCTTGGAGATTCGTATTTCCATGAAGGGCACTTAAGGACCAAAAATATTTTAACCCTCCCTTCTTCATCAAATGAATCTCTGATGTTCAGATTGCAGACATTGTGACTGGCTTTCGGAAAAATATTTGGGTACAAGGTAGTCTTTCAAAGAATACTGATTTTAAAACGAACATTAAACTTCCAGCATAAAGAAGCAGATTGACCAGATCAAAGATAACATTGTACAAACCAAAGGATTCTCTCATCCAAACAAAATGCTAACAACCAATGCTTTTTAGAATAGTTCTGAGCTTTGACTTCCTATGCTACAAGGCAAAAATGTTCTAGAATATTTTTTGCGTCTGTGCCATGTGCCTTTCAATCTCCTTGTGAAAGCGAAAGAGGCCTTTGTCCCAGTGGGCGCTGCAGGAGCCAGACCAGGAACCAAAGCAAGAGCAGACAGCCAAGTATAAGCAGGGGTGAGGGGAGGACGCAGGACTCAGGGACAATCTGAGATCAGAACCGGCAAACTTGAGGAGGGCCAAGGTGAGAATACCAACCAACCCAAGAAAAATGTGTAGTCTCCCCACTGGCAGGATCAGAGTACAGGGAACTGAGCTTGTTAGAGGAAAGGTCAAGTAAGTCTCTTAGGTCCTGCTGTAATCCTTTCATAGGGTGAGGGCACAGGAGGAGTTTTCTGGTGTGGATTGTGTTGCTATTAGAGCTAAATGTAAAGAGTAAGCTCTTCTGAAAATTTGGACAGTTTTGATTTTACCATACGCATAGCCCATGCTACCTTGACAGAATCCTGGAGCCCATATGGGCAATGGGTACAGTCATTTGGGGCATTTTCTTTAGTTTAGGCTTTAGTCTTAGTAACTGAGATTTTCTTCAGTTGTTCAAGTGCCTCCAACAAGTCATTACCTTTTTTTCTTTTATATTTATACCATGTGAAAATCACAACCAATGTCTTTTCCACTATTGGAAAAAATATTAATTCTTGAAACTCTAGTAAGGTGGCTATTTAAATAGAATGAGCCATAGGTAACAAAAGATATATAATAAAATATTTTAAAGTTATAGTATATCAGAACAAAGTATACCTTGATTATATTTAATATATGAGGAATTGTCAAACAATATCATATTAGGATTACCATCAAAGTTGAATATCAGTCAAGTCAAATGAAGACAGTGGCACACATGGGAGATTGGTCAACTACGGGAAGACTGAACAAATAAGAAAATACATATGGATAATGGGAGCCAGGTTTCTCAGCATCAGAGAAGGGAGTAATAAGTATAGAAAGGGAGAAACCCAGAATGAAACCTGTGGTATTGGACTGGAATTAGAGGCATTGGAGTTAACTCACGGTTTTCAATATATAGATAGATAGAGAAATAAATATACATACAGATGTGTGCATATGTAATGCTATATGTAATAGACACACAAAAAATATATCCTCTCTAGCTCTGTCCACAAAGAAAGGGCCTGGGAGCAGTGACATCCCAATAAAAATGAGGTGAGGACACCTAGTCCCAAGATCTGGGTTTCTAGATTTCATTCGCCACTAAAAGGAATCAAAGTTTGGGGAAATGATTCATTCCAGAGGTAGGCCTGGAAAAGCACAAAATGAGTCTGAAATAACTTGTGCCAGAAAGCAAAGAAGTCCTTGAAGAATGGTGGAACCTATCAAAAGGACACAGGAACCAACTTGAAGTGATTTGGTCTCAGGGACCAAATTAGAGGCAATAGAAATAATGATAGAAACAGATTAAAACCCTTTGAATAAAATAGAAACCCATGAGTCAGCGACGGAAGGAAGGGAGGGAGGGAAGGGCAAGGGAGTGATGAAGGGAGGGAAAGAGCGGCTTAGTTGGATGACAAACGGGCTATTCAGAAGAGAACTTCATAGTGGAGAAGCCTGGAAGACACCACCCTAACCAAGTGATCAAAGTAAACATTACCAGTAATGGGACAAGTTGACACCCTGTACCACCTAATGGGATGCTGTGAGAAAAACAAGCATCGCTTCTGTGATATCCCTGCCAAAGATGCATAATCTGTGTTAGTCATGAGGAAACATTGGACAAATTTAAATTGAGGGACTCTATACAAAATAACTGACCTATAATCTTCAAAGGTGTCAAGGTCATGAAAGTCAAGGAAAGAGTGGGGAACTGTTCCAAACTGAAGGAGACAAAAAAGACAACTAAATGAACTCGTGATCTGAACTGGGTCCTTTTCCTATAAAACGTGTTATTAGACAGCTTGAATGTGGTCTGAGGATTGTATAGTAATAACTTACCAAGGTTAATTTCCCAGTTTCAATGGTTGTATTGTGGTTTCATGAAAGAATGGCTTTGTAGGAAATATTGTACACATTAGCTGGAGTGATAGAACATCAGGTTGGCAAATTACTCTCAAAAGGCTCAGGAAATAAAAGGTCTTTGTAGTATTTCCAACTTTTCTGTGAGTTTATGATCATTTCATATGTGTAATACATGACTATATATAAAAAATAAATGTATAAAGTATATAAAGTTTGCCATCTTAATAAACGGTAACAATTCCCTCGATAAACAGATAAAACATATCCATTATCTTGTATATATATATTTGTTTTTCAAAGTGTTATACCAGTATAATCTCAGCATTTTTTATTAATTGCTATCTTTAACCAAAGCAACTAAGTTTTTTCTCCGGAACAGAAAACCTAAAGCAGAAAAGCAAGAACTATATAGCTATTTTTGTCCATAAGTAACATTATATATCTCTTTTTATAAAGAAATTACCTTTTATAACTTAATTTAGTTGAACATATGATTTTGTAAATGTGTAATCTTAAACAAAGTGATGTTAGTTAATCTAACCAGCTAAACCAATAGAGGGAATTTAAGAAATTCAAATTAATTAGACATTTCATGGAAAACTATATCCAAGACTGGCATAGAGGAAAGAGATAAAGTTGTTTTTAAACAAATTTATTAAATCATCTAATTTTCAGAGTCCTTTTGATTATGGATATTAAAATAGATGCTTTCTATACCTTTATATTATCATATATTAAAACCTCCAACATGTTTAAAAGCAAATTCTTCTATTTGATTTTCCAACCTAATTACCAACGCTGTTAATGAAATGCAGTTAAACATTTTATTTCTGAGTTACAGCTTTAGCAAGAAAAATTTCTTATACAGTCAACATATTTAAATCATATTTAGAATTTTTTGTTTCTCTTATTTTACATTTATATAAGCACTTAATATTTTGAAATTATTTATAAAAGCTAACTGTAAAAAGTATTGCTCCATTAGATTTTAAGAGACCTTATAATCAAATTTATTAACTCTCTCTAGAGGTAGACAAAGTATATTTATTTTCTCAAAAACTACTTCATATTTATATACTGGGGATTTTTATCAACTCTTATACAAGTTAGAGGAGCTAATTGTGATTAGCAGAAGAATTTAAGGTAGAAATATAGGCACCAGTATTTATTAAGGATATTGATCAGTTCAAGAATAAAAAGTGTAATTAATCACCATTTGTTTCTTTTGAAAAACATCAGTGTTGATAAATGTGTGTAATTTTGTGGTTTTTCTTCTAAATTTATCAAAATAATCTTTCTCTTTTTTTCTAATGTCCATACATTTTTTTTTTTTTTTACAATAGTGATACTCTCCTCTCTTTAGCCTTATTTTATAAATCCTGAAGAGAGTAGTTTTGGCATTATTCAATTGTTAAGAAAAATGAAAGCTGACCACGGAATACTAGGGATTTAACTTCCCTTTAGTTTTGGTGCAGGAATTTTAACTTTGCAGATATTGGCAGGATTGGATCCAGAAAAAATGCACCTGAAAAATTACCAGAGTTTTGAAAGAAGGAAAAAGGCTCCGAGTTTCAGAGTCAGAGGAAGCCAAATTGACACAAACCAAAACATATAGACCGAAAGAATATATCAGTAGTAACAAAAACACCAAAAGCTTTTCAACCCTTCATTCTCAGGTGCCAGGATCAATCAGAATCCTTAGGCAGCCAACCAAAAAAGGTCATGGAAACAGATTACAAATTCCTTCTCAGCGGCCACTTGGCAGATACCGCTTAATGGTCAGGCCATGAAATTAAAACCCAGACTCCACCACTGCTGACACCAAAGTAGATTCAATCAACCCTGTTGAACCAGAGCGAGAAGCAGAAGCAGAAGCAGACGTGATGAAGAATCAGATTAGCGTGTGAGAGCCAGAGAGCACAATTGCCACGCAAGACTTATTTCAGGAGCCAAGAGAAGATGAGCCGAGGACCCAAGGGGTCCAGGTACAGACAAGATACAGCCCAGGTGCACTTTAATCTCCACATTTTTGTGGTAGGCTATATTGCAGTGGAGTCTCCAGAATAACAGTAAAAGAATAACTCAAAGACGTTCAGTAAAATTATTAGCATACTGTTTAATCACATGCAAGGGAAAACAGTAATAAATTAATTTCCTCTAACAAAGGCAAAAAAAAAGAACAGGACTTACATACAAGAAAGAAAAGGAGAGGAGACAGAAAAACCAAGTGACTTTGGAACACGAACTTTGATTTTCAGGCTTTGGGTAAAATGCTGAGTAGCTAGCAGCCAGCAAAAAGGCAGGTCAGGCGACTCTGCCCTTGGGCAGCCAAATGGCTCATCAAAGAAAGCAATTTCAGTTGTGTGTCTATTCTCCAGAAGACCTGGAGGGTTTAATTTGGGCACATACAAAACAGGCGGTCTCTGCATTGTGTTCTTCTGTGCATCCTTTGGCATCACCTCCAACTCAGTTTAAGCCAGGTCTGCACCATTTCCTTATTTGATTGTTCACTGATCATCAAAAAGGTAAATTAAAAGATGCCAAAGCATCAGGAGACCAGACTAGATCAATGAAGCCAATGAGTGTTTTTAATGTACTGATTTGTACCTTTGCAACCATTTAAAAAACATTAAAAACTTATTCATTGATACTATAAACTATGACCTAGTACTGAACAGAGCTGATTATCAAATATGATCTGCCACTAAATAACTTATAACCAAATACAATCGGGGGAAAGGGAATGTGAGAAACGGGTGCTGGGGACAACCAATAAATGTCTAATATATAGGGGGAAAAAAAAAAGAAGCCAAAGCAATCCATATTTCAAGTGAAATTGCAAAAAAAAATGTGTCTCCACTGTTATAGGTGCAAGAAGTCTTGATTGGGCTTGAATTCCCACGTCAAGATTCTGCCTCACCACCCAATACCTCACCTCATTCTCCACGATTAGCAACCTTGCCATCGTGTTGTCTTTCTTCTCTGAGGTGTGCCTTTGCTGAGTACTATTACAGTGACCAACTAGTTCTCCTGGGACTTAACTGGTTTTAGCCCCGAATGTCCCGCATTCTGAGAAACCCCTCAGTCTCAGGCATCATGGAACAGTTGGTCACCCTGGTACTTCCCCCTGGATTGGAAGAATTAAGTCCACACTGCAAGGATAATAAGATCCAAGAATGCTGCACCTTGAAGAGGTTTCTGGAAGCATCTTGCATTTTCTACCAAGTTCTTTCAGTAATTTTTTTTATTGTGGTAAAATACACATAACATAAAATTTACCATTTTAATCATTTTAAGCGTACAGTTCTGTGGCAT